CTCCCAGAATTCCCTAGCCAGCTTGCTGGCTAGGGGATTTTGGGGGTTGAAGTCCACACATCTTCAAGTTTCTGAGGTTGAGAAAGACTGGTATAGAGAAATGGGAGGAAACTCTCCTTTTTATTGGATCTTGATCCCTATTCAGCATTTTCCCCACCTGCACTATGATTCTTGTCCTCTTTCAATGGAGAGTAGCCTATGCTTATATTTTTGATGGATTGATTACGTGCCATCAAGTCGTTTTTGACTCCTAGTGACCACAGAAGTGTTCACTGTTTGGCCATCTTTTTTGCACATTTCAACCCTGCAACCAGAACCCTCTGAGACACATTCTTTCCCATCCCCCTTTTTTCCTCTCTCTACCTGGGAAAGAGTATTATTTTCTTGGCAACCCCTACTGGAGAGGATGTCCAAGAATCAGGGGTTTCAGAGGTGGGCTTTGCCTCCAACGCTCGGGCTTCTGAGCTCTGGTTCCACCACTTGCAGATTTGGTCCAGGATGCCTGAACCAGGGCACAGAACGGCCCTCTAGGCCAATGGAAAATCAGGAAGCAGGGAGTAAGTCTTGGGGGGAAACTTCTTCTCTGCCCTACCTTCCCATGATGAATCTAAGCATGGTGTCTCCATTCCCTTGTTCTGCCTGCCGCCCTGTTTGGAGGGAAAGGAGAGGTTCCTCGTCTTTGAGATTCTGCTGCAGTGACTGTTCCATGGAGTGAACGACTGAGGCCCCTCTTCCAGGTCTGCCTCCACCCCCCTCAGCTCTTGGACTGCAGTAAGCATGTAGTTGCTGAGGACTTGTACAGCCAGGCCGGGGTAATGCCAGACGCTTTCCTCCAGAGCTGCATCTGTGTGGCTTTCATGCATTTCCTATAAAAATATTTTATTTCCAGCTCATGGTTGTCTGAGCCCCTTCTATTTCGCCTGTAGGGGAGAGCAGCACAAATTGTGGTGGGCCATTGGAAGCCAGCACACCCTGTCTGTGTGCACATAAGATGCTTAACCTTACTGCTGGGTTTGCACAATGTACCAAGCCTAACCAGGGTTCCCACTAATCTGTTAGCATTGACTGCTTACAAACTGTGTAAACACAACCACTAGGCTTTTATTTGACCCGGTTAAGCATATCATATGAACATGAAGATTTGGGGGGCGGAGGGTATTGATGGGAAGGCTTACACTTGGGATTTTGATCGACATACTTGGTTCAGTATGATTATCAGGTTGTTTTTTCAATTTGCAGTCTGTAATCTACTTTCCCTAATGATCTCCTGATCTGTGAAATGCCAACAGGGAAGAGGAGTTAGGAAGCATTTGATTCATGACTTGGCAAACCAGGCCCTTCAAAAAACCTCAGGTAGCTGCCCAGCCTTCTTTGGCCCCAGGACTGTCTGTAGGTTGGCTCACAAGAAGCTACACAAAGCTAGCTCCTGGATGAAGTCACTCCATGCCAGACGAAGTCCAGCTTTGTCTCCTTTGATTGGTAGCAGTTCTCCAGGATCCTTGGCAGAGAGTAGTTTTTTCCATCACTTTCTAGCAGAGATTCCAGAATGGAATCAGAGTCTCTCTGCATGCAGTGCACGTGCTCTGCGCTGGGTTATGACCCAAGGATGGGAGCCACTCAAATGGCTCTAAAGTGGTGCTGCCCAGTGCATGTATTAGGCGTTTTCACCACTTAAGGGCCGCCATGACAGTACATACTACACTGCTTTTCATAATTGTGCTCAATCAAAGCTGTTGGAAATGGGGTGGAGGGTAAGGTGGAATGGGAAATTGGTCATGAAAAAATAAAGAAGGAAGCAACAATGTCCCTCTGAAGTCAACACAGAGAGCCTTTCTTTACCCACACTTCACCTGGCTTAGTCTACTCCTGATGAACATATGAGTATCTAAAGTAGCCTTATACAGTAGCATATCAGGCTCACCAGAGTCCTTGTTAAAAAAGGAAGTCCTTTGAAAATGCAACATTGAAAACAAAACTCATTCCTTCCATTTCTGAAGCTGATACTTTCTTCTTAAGCAAAATCCCTATTACAATTTCAAGAATTCCTTCAAAGTTGCTTGAGATAGTCAGATCATTTGTTACTCAAGCTCAATTTTGTGGGCTTTAGACAGAGTTCACATACCACACTAAGCTATATTTATTTTAACCATAATTTGTTGAACAAGCCATCATAGCTTGGTTTGGGCAATAAGTTAATCCATCATGTATTTTGTTGGCTTTGGTGTGCTTTGTGAATGCTCTTCCAGTCTGTAGTCCCATGGTTTATAGCTTAGTATGCTGTGTGAACCCAGTCCATTTTATTTTCAGTCAACTAAAGTTCAGCTTGATGTATGAAACCAGACAACTGTAGGCCATAAACCATGGGTTACAAACCACGGTAGCGGGGTTCATGCATCATGCTAAGTCAAAACCGAAGAAGCCCATTGAAGTGTGAAGCTGTTTCCTGGCCTTTGACTGGATATACTGGAGATTTGACCATGAACCTGCTGAGTTTGAAGTAGCCGCTCTGCCCATGAGTGGTGTGTCATAATGGTCCCGTGGCACAGGTAGCTGTTGCTACAGAGCTTTGCCTATAGGAGCTTTGACT